CTATCATAATGTAAAGAGTGCCAAGGATGGGCTGCCACAACGGATGAGGGGCATCGAACTGGTACCAGTGAGAAGGGACTTTGTGCCGCACTTCCTCAGGCACTCGAGATGTCAGCGTCAGGTTCAGCGTAGCGAGGTTGCCCCATTTTCTGTCAAAGAGAAAGGAAATGTCTGATTTTACAGGACTTATGTAGAGATGGAGGAGGAGGAGTGCCACTTCATTGTATAACTTTATAACGTTATATCAGGGTAGGGAGATCAAATAAGAAAATGGTAGCATATTGTTATCAAAATTATTATTCTTATAATTCCGTCTTCATAACGTCATCTCTGTAAATATCTTTCTCATCACTGCATTCTGACACTCGCAGTTACCCATTTCTATATCTGTTATCTATTCGTCTTCTCCTGCTGGGTCTTGTTTAGCGCAATGTACTCACGCATCCTCCAACTGACTCAGCCAATAACAGTAATTAATTGCTGCCCTCCCCGGCCGACCTTTGTTTTGGTTGCCATAAGAAAATATGTTAGCTTGTATATTATATAGCATATATATAAACATACACACACACACACACATGTATGTGTGTGCGTGTGATTGTGTTTGCGTGCACATAACCCCCCCCCACACACACACACAAATAAATATACATGTACACATATCTGAATACACACACACTGTTTTCAGGCCTCCTTCTGTCTTTTCCTTCTCTCTCCTACTCTCTTGCTCCCTTTACTCCTCCTCCTTCCCTCTTTCCCACTCCTTTTCTCCCTTTCCTCCTTCCCTTTCTTATGCTCTTCCTTCTTTCTTCCTTCCCTCTCTCTCATACTCACCATCTTTTCTCTTCTCTCTCTCTCTCTTACTCATATTTTCTTTATCTTCTGTCTCTCCCTTTTACCCTCCTCTCCTCTCTTCCCTCTCTGCCCTACAAAAGATGTTTACTTAGCCTATTTCCCTGTGTCATAGTCTAGCTTTGCCTGGTCCTAACTCTTGCCCTCTGTAAGTTCATCCTCTGTTCTCTTTTCTCTTACTCTGTATTCTCTTGTTTTTGCTGCTAAATACTTTTCTTCTCAATACACCTGATCCTTAGCTATATCTCTTCTATGAATACGATATATTTCATCACTAGTGTCAGTGATATGAATTACCACAGAGTACATTCTGGTAATACGATATAATTCATCACTAATATCAGTGATATAATCGTCTAACTTCTCTTATATTCGCTCTCTATGGCACTTTCTCTTGATTTCTTCCTAAATGAACCGTATTAATGTTGACAAAAGTAGAAAAGGTATGAATAAAAATGAATATCTTCACAATACATCTCTTGTATTGTGAAGATATTCAATCTCAATCATATCTTTTCTACCTTCTTCCTAAATATTGTTTTTTTTTCTGTATGACACTTCCCTCTTCCATCACCTTTTTTATATATATTTTCTGTCATGCCTCTTTTTGTAAATCGAAATGATTTTTAACGGTATTGAAATTTGAATCAAGCCAGTTTTATATATCAAAGCGTTTTTGTTTATATTTTGCTGTCGGGTATTTTAGACACATGAACATGTTTGAACTAATCTGCCGCTCTGCCTCTGTCTTTTTAATTGTATTTTTAGCAAAATGTGTTAAGTTAATTTTTCTATGTACGCATTTTTTTTTAGTTTCTTTTTAATTTTATTACGTTCAGTTTTACTGGCAGCAGCGAAGACCTTTTTTTCGTTTGCTCCCTTGTAAGTTACATTTTTTTTCGCTCGTATTTTGAATATTCACTTTCTCATAACTCATGAGTTTTACTTCGCTTCTTTATGTGTTCATCAGATCTTTACTTTTAAATATTTGTAATTACTTTTATTTATCATCTTTATAATTGTGTTTATTTTACTTCCCTTTTTTTATTACACATCACTGTTGAATAGTGTTTCTTAAATAAATCTTATTTACGAAGTTCAAGTCAAAACCCTAGCTATATCAGATACTCGATTCCACTTAATAAACGTGTCAAGACGATCGGTATCTGTACCCCCCTTGGATCCTGAAGTGACATGGCGACGGACCTACAAGAGAGAAGGTTCTTGTACCTGCCTTGAACATTGCCTTTAGTGCGTGAGAACCTGGGAGTGTTATTTCAGCCATAATCAGCATGAACGTACCTACACCACTCGTCCACGCACAGCCCTGTCTTCCTTGAGAGAATGCGAGGGCTTTATGTCTTCTAGAGTAAGAGGGTCCCACTATCCCTGATGGAGTGACAGAGAGAGAGAGAGAGAGAGAGAGAGAGAGAGAGAGAGAGAGAGAGAGAGAGAGAGAGGAGAGAGAGAAGAGAGAGAGAGAGAGAGAGAGAGAGAGAGAGAGAGAGGGAGAGGAGAGAGAAGGAGAGAGAGAAGAGAAGGAGAGAGAGAGAGAAGGAGAGAGAGAGAGAAGGAGAGAGAGGGAGAAGGAGAGAGAGGGAGAAGGAGAGAGAGGGAGAAGGAGAGAGAGGGAGAGGAGGGAGGAAGG